ACCGTAAATTGGCGTGACATAAGCTGTCGGTTTCGGCTGAACCAGACTGGGCTTCGAAGCAAGAGAGGGGGGGAAGTTTTGGACGCAGTGCCCGCCACCGTGCTTTGCTGGCCTCTCTTGCGCTTGAGCTCCTCCTTCCGAGCTACAACTGAGCTTTGCTGGCTGCTGCACTCTGTTGACGTTGTCTCCTAGTGTGGCCCTCAGTGAGCTTTGCTGGGCAGTGTTGGAGGAGGAGGAGGAGGAAGAAGTGGGACTCGATGCATAGCGTTTTAGTTTCTCCAGACTGGATTTTTGGTTCGCCAGTTTGAAGTCACCCTTGTGTGACTCCAGCGACCGGTGTCCGTGCTTGCTCGCTCTCTGCTGGCCATCTGAAGCGGCATTGTGCCCGGCCTTCTGCCAACCCATCGTGGCACTTTTGCTCTGCTGTGCAGGTAGGGCTGCTGGTGTGGAAGAAGTAGTGCTGGAAAGGGGAGGAGGAGGAGGCAGCGGTCTTGAGTCTGCAATAAGATGTTCATCAGGCTTGGGGAGAGACGTCTGAGGAAGCCCAGGTTTTGGAACACCAACAAGGTGGCTCTGGTTTGATCGGTCAGTTAACAAGTCTTTCATTTCATCATAGTTGCCCAGCGTATTCTGGATGCGGTTCGAGAGCTCATCCCCTTTGTTAGTCTGCAAAACAAAAATCAAGTGTTCTGCAACAGTCAATGTAAGAAAAACAAAATTCCCTGCATGCTTCTGCTGAAATCCTTACTGAAGTAGCACTGCCTTATTCAGCAGTGGTGTTGAGGGATGAAATCGAAAATCCTTATTGTCTCTGAAGACACTTGTCAACATCTTAAATCTACCCTGAACTGGAAAAGCTATAAAGGGCCTTAGAGTATATAAAAAAAGAAATCTATCACTGATATCATGCTGTAGTTAAAGTATATTACCTGGAAACTAGAAAATTTATTATTGCAACTACACTGAATGGTTTGGATTAAATCTGACCATGATAAAACTTTTCCTGTAGCCCAGTGCAAGCTCTCCTTCAGCCATGAATGAAAACACTGCATTCCCAATTTCCTTCTCTGCCTGCTTAAGTTTTCAGATTGCAGCTGGGAAGCCACACAACATCCAGTGTAGGCATTGAACAAACTCACCAGTCTAAGCCAACCAAATAGTTTGAGGTGACTTGAAGACAGCTTGTGGGAAAATGGGAAAACTACAGATGATTATGTCCCTTCTTCGAAAATACTCTGAGAGGACACTTGCTCCAGGGCACTCTCCTTTTTGGGGGAAAAAAAAAAGTGAACACAACTCCCCAAATTCTTCACAGTGCTTAGTGCTTGCTGTGTGCAGCAGGGGGGGACGCAGCCACCCTCCCTCCCTTTTAGGATTAATCATTGTCTTTAAAGTCATCCACTTCCTGACTGAAGAGGCAGAAGCTCCACAAGGAAATAAAACAAGCAAAGAAAACATACTGGAAAAGATTGAAAACTCTTGCTTCAAAAAGCCACTGCAAGCAAAAAGGTGTATCATTAACGTTTATGCAGCTGAGATTTTTCTGAACCCTGCCAAGATTCAGGTGTATGCCGTTCTTTGCTTTACGTATTCAGATGAAGACAGTAATGAGCCGGTGGTGTTCTCCCTTCTCTCTTCCAGACATGGCGTCTGGATGGGAAACTCCCACTGGCTTCAGAAGGCCAAGCTTTAATCCCAAGACTCTCTGGTTTAGAGGAAAACAGAAAGAAGGAAAAAGAAAGGAGCAAAGGGAATGGAGAAGACCCCATGAAAGTTGTTATATAAAAAATATGAAAGGTGTAGCAGCAATATCAGCATTTTAGTTTTAAGCCTTCAAATAAAATTGAGTCACTCAAACAAAAATGTAAGGGAAACTCCCCTAGTTCAGAATTTTTTTTTAGGGTTTCCTATAAAAAAACCTGAATCCAAGCAAAAATGCCCAGGAAATGAGTGCAGTGATTGCCACATGCTAATTTTCAGAGGAGTACAGTGGAAGCATTCCTAAGTCAGGCAGTAGAAGCAGTCCTGTCTTGCTAGAAACTTGTCCCCTCAAATTTCAAGAACACTGCCTTGTAACTACGTAAAATACATTACAGCCAGCATTCTGATATGCATTTGTTACAATGCTGTCTAACAGAGTTCAATATATATCAATAATATATATTGAAGGGAAATGAGAAGGGAAAAACTTGGAAGTGTTGCATCTGAACCATTGCTTTGCTAACTTGGAATGAGATAGCTCAACCACAACAGGTTGATCTTCTCTCTGCATGTGCAGCTGTTGTCACATTCCTGTGTCTCCTGGGGTCAATGAAATGACTTCTACACATGGGCATCTCCTTGACCAGAATTACTTTCCAGAAGGCACAGAAAATTTTCATTTTACCAAGTGGATCTCTTCTGTGTTTCTAGTGGATCCTCCACCTTGTGTAGATACCTCATAAAGAGAGATGTATTTCCAGCTTCCCTCTAGGGAGTGAGATCTGCCCTTGGGCCTGCACTCAGCCTACGTGTGTGAGGTTTGCTTCCCTGCCAGGAGCACAGTGACAAGGACCACCAAATGGAATGGGGCCCCTGACACCCACAAGTCTCCAACAGCACAGACAGCTTGTGGGGCAGCTCTCCACCCAACTCACTCTAGGTCCATGAATGTAAGAGAATTTATGTGCTGGTTTTGCCCCGAAAGTCCAAATTCCTTAACAGAAGGTCCATTTTTCCTGATCACTGCTATTTGGATGGGAAGTAAATAAAAGCCTAATTTCAGATTATCTGTAGACTATCACTAGCCCAGAGAAGTCAGCAGATTTTCTTCTAGATGGATGTGATGTGAAGCTCACGCAGAGACACCTTGTATTGAGAAATCCCAGATAACCACAAGAATAATTGCAGCAAACCAATCTACCACCCGTAACATGGCACATGCTGGTCGGTGCAACTGGTTGGTGTTGTTTATGCCTTCTGGATACACTGGGGGCAACCTGAGGTGAGAAGATACTGGGTTGAGCTGACCTCATCCAGAAGAGTTCACCTACATCCTCTTGGGAATAAGATGGGATCTGACGTTACTTGTTATGAGCTTCAGATGTAACAGTTGTCTTATTATTTGCTCTGAAATATTGCTGGCTTTATTTAATCATTCATAGAGGGAAAATATAATCACAAAATGAGCAAGTTGGAAAAGCATCCTATGCAAACATTCCTAACTTACAGTGCTCTGATATTCTTCTGCAATGCAAGATGTATCCATGCATTTGAAGAATGCAAGATTCAACACTTCTAAAAATAAACCTGATGGTTGCAGGGAAAGCCATCACAATTTTTGCCATTAAAAATACTGATACGGTTAATGAAACAAGGTATTCTGTCCAGGAAATATCCGGAATTAAACTCCTACTTCTTACCCCCTGTAAAAGACATTTTAAGTAAAAGATACTGGATTTCCTGTAATCCTTCATAAAGGGTTGCTATGGATACTTTGAACAGGATAAGGGGCAACCCGAAGACTAAGGATTTTTCAGAAAATCTGATGTTACAGGAGTAGCGATACATGTCAAGGTGAGAGAGGACATAAGATTTAAGAGATTTCCAGTCTGCCTTTGATTTTCAGATATGGCCTTCTGAATGGCAAATCCTTTGGCTTTAGCTCATGTTTCTCAAGCTGTGCAGAGGAATACTGAATTTAATAAGGGCTTGCAGTGAATGTCTGCTATAACTTCATTCCCCTCTGGAAACACCTAAAACTTGAACATGATCTTTAAAGACACTAAGAGTGGGTTTCAGTTTTGCTTTCGCAGAAAGGTTTCCTCTTTTGCAGTCAGCCCCTCTCCCTGATAAGATCAAAAAGCACAAGCCACAGCTCTGCACCCCCACACTGAAGGTTCACAAATGCTTGGATGAGTTCAGACAGTGCAATGGTCCATTGCCAGCATAGACATGATATTCAGAGGACACCACTGCTGAAGTTTTGATGCCCAATACTGTCAGAATGTCTGGTCATCCCAAGCAGCTGTGACTGTCAGTCCAACGGAGCTGTGGGTGAGTTATACGGCTGTCCTGGGCTTTGCCTTTCTCCATATTTCCTTGACAAAGCCAGCTTCTTTACATGCTTGTCCAAAATAGGTACATAATGTTTAAAGATAAGAAGCATGGATGGAGACATTATTCTGATCTCCCCATAGGACATCCACTCAGTATCTTCTCTGCTTCTAGAGATCGCAATGATTTTTCATCCTATTAAAGTTGATGGAATTGTACTGTGGCTGCATAGAGGTGCCTTCAGACATCATAGCTCAGAAACTACTGGTGTGTCCATCATACATGAAGACTGTGCCATGACAGTCAGTACATTGGCACACAGGTAATAATCAAAATGCACAAAATATTCCAACTATACCACTTTTATAAGAGATTTACCACTTTTATAAGTGATTTGAGCCTCAGTATTACCAGCTTTAGGTACCACAGACAAAACAGTATCAGGGAGCCAGCAAAATGACAGGCCATTTTTGTGATCAGTCTATTTGACTGGACCTACCAAATGGAAAATTATTAGGTCCCATTTCACCCTCACTAAATGCCAAGACACAGCTGACTTAAGCTTTTCAGGCTTTTTTCCATGGATTGGTCTCACAGTAGACTTTTTGTAGACTTTTGCCAGTAGAGCCTTGAGGAGGAGTTCAAGACATTTCCCATGGTTTCTAAATGCCGTTGTAATGAATCTGAAATTCAAGCAGCTGGAGGTCAGCTTCAAGGCAGACAGAACTGTCTTCTATCAAGGGACGTGGTTTGAAAGTGGTAGATCTTTCTTTTTTATTAGGGACTAGAAACAAACAACAGTCTGGAAGAACAGCAAGCTAAAAGCTGACCCTGGGGCATGGGTAGAAACAGGGAAGCACTGAAGTCAGGTGCAGAAGCCAACTGCCAGATCCCAAATAAGACTCCTGGAAAGAGGCACTAAAGTACCCAAAACATCAAGGGCAAGTGATGCTGCATGGAGGGAAAGGCTTCACAATGTGGTGGTTGTAACAGTAACTTGGGCATTACCAGAAGGGCACAGTAGATGATACACGATGATGCTTTGATGCACGCAGGCCAAGTCCCTGGGTTAGCTGGGGGAGAGGAACAGCCCCCGTGGAATATCGCTCTCTGGTTATGTTCACAAGGGCTTGGTTTGCAGGCTTCTGGAGGCAGCAGTTGAGTGCAGAAGATCCTGCTTGACCCTTCTAACAGGGGGTGGGGAGAGACGGTTGTGCCTCATCACACTACTGTTACCATAAGGGATAAAACAGGGAGCTGGGAACTCATAAAGACTCATAAGCCTTTGGTGAGGGTAAAACGTGTAGCAGACAAATACTGTTAGTAATGCTTATGGGGGGGGGGGAAAAAAGCAAATACCAAGATATTCCATTGCATTAACCTTGGCCAGAACACAATGTTTACTGTATTGCTTGACCTTCACACACAATTCTAACACAATTGTTTTCTTCTAAGTGTTGCAAAAACAGGGCACCATCACCTTCACCTCCTAGTTTTAATTCCATCTCAAATATTGTGAGGATATTTCTAGTTTACTTAATTCTCGTGTACTGCTGAACATTCTAAGAAGCTTTTTTATATATA